CAGCGCAGCTCCGACGCAGACTCCACACGCAAGTACTCCAAGATCTGCGAAAGTGAAGAATGACGAAAAAACAGACTGCAGCTGGGGTATACCCCCAGCGGACTGACTGGACTGGACTGGACTGGCCTGGTACCGACCGTGGTACCGGGCGGGACTGGACTGGACTGGCCTGGTACCGACCGTGGTACCGGGCGGGACTGGACTGGACTGAAACAATATACGGCCTGTGGGGTCAGGCCACGGCCTGGTCCCACAGGCCGAACTGGCAAATAGCCAAATAGGCCCTGGCTGTAGGCCAGGGCAGATGAAGGCCCGCTGCACTTTGCCTACGGTTTACCGGGCAGTTCTGTTTGTGACGATATATATATACAGGGTTACCGACGTTCGGGACGGGCCGAACGTCTGAACCCGAACGCCCGAACGTACGGGACCCCTTCGGGAGGCGTTCGGCCGTTTGGGCCGAATGCGGACCAAAAAAAAAACAAAAAAAAACAACAGAAGTTTTCAAAAAATTCCGAAAAAAAACTATGTTATGGAGAAACATAAACCAAAAAACATTTGCCTGGGCACTACATCCTAATTGTTTACCAAATTTGAACTAAAAATCCAATACAGAAAATAAACACTATGATAAAAATAAGAAAACATAAAAAGAGAATTAAACCGAGTGAGTGTGCCAGCACCTCTTCGACACCGCCATCTTTGCCGATTTTTTATTATTTTTTAGCATTGACAAATGCCCTGAAAATTTACAGATATGTAGTTTACATAATCAGTAACTCATTATTTTTTTTTTCAAAAAAAAGGAAACGTTTTCAGGCCCCGAAATAAGTGAAAACAAAAAGTTAAAAGTGAAAAAAAAACAAAATAGTGAGTGGGCGAGCGCGTTTTGACACCCCCATCTTTCACGATTTGTAATGTTTTTTTGGCTTAGCAGAATGGCTTCAAAATTTATAGGTGTGTAGGTTACATCATAGAGAAGTCACAAAAAAACATTCAGAAAAAAAAACTTATTTTTAGGCCGGCCAAACCTGGAGGTGTTCGGCCCCCGAACGGGACCCCGAACGGGACCCCGAACGCCCGAACGTTCGGAGGCCAGCCCGGGGCCCCCCGAACGTTCGGTCAGGTAACCTTGTATATATATATATTTATATAGGGTTGTAGATGTTTCAAAGATGTACAACAACATTTTTTTTTTTGTTTTTTTTTCAACTTCGTGTATTTAAAAAAAAATCAAAACCATAAACAACATATTTTTTGGCCTGCATTGCTTAGGTAATCCTGCTGGGTAGACTCCCTGATTTGGGCCTGTAGAAGATTGCATGAGCCTGGCGTCCGAAGTTCCTGTACGGCAAGGTTCGTCCGCTTCCGCTTCAATTATGGCTGGGAGGTTGGCCCAGCCCTGGTGCTTGTCCCTGCTGTCTGGTCCAAGTTGCCCTCGATACATGTAGTAGGGTGATGGTCCTGAGTGCTGGTCACACTGAGGTAGGATAGCAGGGACAGAGGGGGTGCTGGGAGTATTAACATGGGGATGGGTAGGGTGGGCGGCCTATCCTGTCAGGACAACCATTGGCTGCTGCTACCAGCAATCACCGCCAGTCTGGTCCTTGGCCCCTACAACACCCTGGGCTTTCAAAAAAAAAAAAAAAAAAAAAAAGAATGGATCTTCTGCTAGAATGTGGAATAATACACCGCCATATGTTTTGTCTTCTGTGCATGTGGTGGTGAGTAGAGGCCCTTAGGGCCACTGCACGTATTCCTAAGAAAAGAAAAAAGAGAAAACAAAAGAAAAATGAAAAAACAAAAAGAAAAACAGAAAACAAAAGAAAAACAAGAAACAAAAGAAAAACAAGAAAACAAACAATTAGTGACCCATAACTGTGATCAGTGTGATGCACAGACCTGAATTCAAATCCACAGTCCAGACTATATATATTAGGCCCACGCAGACAGATTACAAGTCCAATGTCCATCTCTGCTCCACGAGGGGTCCTTGCTAATATGTAGGGGCCCTTCGGAAATGAGACTGGACGAATAAGTTGGAGCATTTGGTAAAAAAAAAAAAAAAAAAGGACATGCACACACATGTGCTCACAGTGTTGGCCCTGTTGGGGTATGGGGTGGCCCCATCTTTTTTTCCTCTTGCAATTTGATTTTCGAAAGGGAGGGGCATGTTTGGCCACCCCACCCTACTAATAGGGGTCTTTTTTTTTTTTTTCCCCTGTTTTTGGTGTTCGGGTGCGTAGGGCCACGTGTCTGAGGCCCAACGCGCCAGTTCCGTTTTTCGGAATTCAACGGGACACCCCCGTTTTTTCAATAAATGTGATTTAAAGGGGGTCCTCGGGCCCGGTTGAACGGCGTTTAATTCCGCCCGTTCTCCGTTCATCGGACATACAGACAATTCACACTAAACACACACACACACACACACACACACACACACACACACACTGAGAGAGAGAGAGAGAGAGAGACATACCCAACCATAAAGGACAAAGAAAGCTTGCCAACAGAGCAGAGGTGTAAGGGATCAAGTACGAAAAAGTGTACCTCATTAATATCGACAAAATGGAAGATTTATTAAGCAAAGATGTTTGTGGAAACCCTTCAAGTTACAAGTAGATGTAAAATGAAGCTGTCATGAATAAACCTTATCCAGCATAGAGGGAATGCTATCCCTCCAGAGTCCATACTGAGTCCATAGTCAACAAAAAATAACGCAACGGCATTTACAGATTATTAATTAGAAAGTAGCATGCGTTGTTCAATGAGCAATAACTTGCATTGCTCTGACATATTATGCAATTTTCTGAATTATCAAATCAATCATGTCTTCAAATTTCGCCGCGGAATCGTTCAAATTCTCTCACTTAGCAGCACTGGTCATTGGCCTCTATACATACTATACTGTTTTCACTAGATGCCTTAACCGCAGCATGGATGAGGAGTCGGGACCAACAATGAAAACCCAGAAGAGTACTAAGCTTAGGGTTTTAACTAGTACGACAACCAGGAATGGCAGGAAGAGGACAGCGACAATTGCAAAAAAAAAAAGCTTATGAAGAGTCTGTGAACCAGAGGATAAGAAGGTAGTCACAACAAGAAAAAAGTCGAGCCGAGTACCGGCAGGCCTAGCGCAGTTGGTACATCCATGAACTGTTGAAATACAGACCCGAGTCTGGATCTCACAACAACAACAACAACAACAACAACAACAACAACAACAACAACAACAACAACAACAACAAAAAAAAAAAAAAAAAAGAAGGCAACTTCAAGCCGAAGACCGATTACCGAACAGTCAAGGGAAGACAAGGTCAGAAAGAGTTCCGCATATGACGCCCATGGCCAAACCAAGGGAAACGAACCCGATAGTCAAACAGTTATGCTGATCAACGCTGACCAAGCTGACCAATGCTGAACAATGCTGACCAAGATGACCAACCGGACCAATGCTGACCAATGCTGACCAACGCTGACCAACGCTGACCAATGCTAAGTCATTTTGCTGACCAATGCTGATCAATGCTAAGTCGTTTTGCTGACCAACGCTGACCAAGCTGACCAATGCTGACTAATGCTGACTAATGCTGACCAATGCTGACCAAGCTGACCAAGCTGACCAAGCTGACCAATGCTGACCAACGCTGACCAATCTGAGAAACGAATGCACGATATTGCTGACCTCAATGGGGAGACATCTGTAACTCATAGCCAAGTAATAATGCAATACGCATGCACCTGACAAACCAAGCCTTTTTTCGAAATTTTATTCTTCCTGTCTCCTCTCAGCCTTTGCTTCTAAATCGCCAGACACGGCCCAGATTATTACGGGAGGCAGCAGAAATGCAGTCTGTGTGCCGTTGTCTCAGTGCATGCGGCAAGTATTCCCAGCAATGGATTGCGGTTTGCAAGCGCTCCTCTGTGTGGCACAGTGTGTGCAAGGAGTTGTGCACAGAGTCAGACTCAGAGAGAGAGAGAGAGAGAGAGAGAGAGAGAGAGTACAGTACTGAGTTATATGCACATCTGTCTTGGACTGTGGGAGTACGACCCCAGTAAATATGGCCAATGATCGTGGACAGCGAGTGACCGCATGTCACCACAGTTACTGTAATGAAACTTCAGCACTGAGCTGATAGGCCCAAATTGAATGACTGTGAAAGTGAGTGTGTGCCAAGTAAACAACTACCCACCGGGCCAGCCGCCACCGTAAATGTAGACCATACACTTCTTTTGGGCAGTACAAATGGTCCATCATGAAACAAAGAATTCTTTCCTTAGAATAGATTGGACTGGTCCCTTGACGAAAATGAATACTCTGTCCTCTGCCCCTAAATAAACAGTACTACTCCCTGTTCTGCGCTCAGTAACCAAGCACCGTAAATGCAGACCAGTACATAGGCCCAACCACCGTGAAAGTGAGTGCATTTCCAGTTACAAAGCACTGTCTGTAAGTCCACAGTCCAGACCACGCACCGTTAGTGTTGCGTAGATTAACTTCATACCTCTGCAAGTAACTGCACTGTGCACTTACTGCTCAGTGACCTGACCACCGTAGAATCGCGTACATGCAGTCTGAGACCTCATCACATAAGCATCCATTAAATGGTGTTGTGAACATTGGCAGTTAGAGTGCCCACGAATCGACGAGTGCATTAAGAGTTGCAATAAGTGGAAGCAGTACGTGTATACAGGAAGCTTGCACTCAGTCTGGCCGTGCTCACACTTGTCGCCTACAACCGTCTACAGCCTGTCGGTCGCGGGTTCTGTTTCCAGCGGACGCTGCACTCCAGACACTTGCCTTTGTTGTCGCTTGTTGTGCACTCGATACGGTCCCTCCACTGTTCCGATCAATTTTCACACTATGGATGCTGAATTCTTGAATCTGAGCTGGTCTTCACCCTGGCTTTGCTCCAGTTGTTGATGTCGGAGCTGGGGTTCCCCATATTACGCCTTTCGATACTGCAATGCCCAAAAGGATAACGTACATCTTCGTCTTTTCCTCTGCCCCCTCTGGATCTTATAGTCTTTTCCGGAGCCACTGCTTGTAGGTGTTAGCCTTTCCGAAAATCACAAAGGTGATGGCCATTTTGAACCCCCCTCGTCGAGCAGCACCCATTGACAACAGTTACTCCAAAATGACCGCGGATTGCGGGTGGGAGGGTAGTGCAGGTGAGCAGAGAATAATAGAGAGTGCTCTACAGAGGCGACAAAAGTGCTCGACAGGAGAGAGAGAGAGAGAGAGAGAGAGAGAGAGAGAGAG